AATACTAGTATTGTGTGTCAGAACATAAACATTTTAGTAAAATATTACTGTAAAAAAGATTACATAATTTTATTATATAATAAAAATTTGATCAACTAATCTCAATTCTAATAATAAATTTGAAACCTAATATTATTATTAAATACAATGAAATAAATAATTGTTTTTTTTAGAATGAAAATATTAGCTTACCAAAAAATACAAATCGAAATAAAACGTTGCTGGAAAAAAATCATTCCAATTTCTCTCGGCACAAAATTAAGGCATTAATAAAAAAGAATTGGTTTATATTTTCAAGAGATATTCTGTAATTAAATAAATTAGTTTAACGATTAAGTATAATATAAATTTTGAACTATTAATTTTTTTTTTTTATTAATAACTATATGAAGTTATATGATGTTTGTACTTTTATTGCCATTTGCTCAAATGTTCAATTTTAATTTAACATCTGGGACTTCATTTAAGGATATTAACATAGCGATTTTAAATTATGAAGCAAATACATCAAGTTGTACCAATGCCGTGGATTTAAATAGCTGTTTATTAGAAAACGATTTTAATGGAACATTAAGTTGTGATATGATAAATTATTTAAGATCTCTTGATTATAATATTGTAAGCATAAATATGAAAACTTTATAAGATGTTACTTTTAACACTAGCTACTTAATATCTCTCAAAATAATGATTTTTTTTTTATTGGCTTATGTTAGTTACATATGGATATTCATTTATCAGTTATAAAATATTTTTTATTTCATATTTTATATCTTATACGGTATCAAATTTATTTTATAAATAACAACATACCTATTGAATTATCTTAAAAATAGAAAATTATGTAATTAAGAAAATGACTGGTCGATATAAATTTTTGGACCATTATTTTGGACATAAGGGATGAACAATAAAAATATTTTTAACAGATAAAGGGAAGTGGCGAGTGTTAAAAGAATCACTCAGTATGAATAAAATCTATAGGTATAAAATTTTAGTGCTATAATATTTAAATTATTAATAATAGCATTATGAATAATTTGTTATTTTAAACAATTTTTTTTTCAAATCTGTTTTATTTAAGTTGTATATAAAAAACAACGACGACGGAATTAAAGCTGTAAATAAAGGGCGTGCAGTAGCATTTATACATTTTCATTATAACTACTCAAAAGAGTTACTTAGATTTGTAAATTATGACGATAATTATTCACAAGAATCGACTGG